GCGGTGTCTTTTTACTTTAAGGGCCCCTACGCGGTGTCTTTTTAATTTAAGGGCCTCAGCGCGGTGTCTTTTTAATTTAAGGGCCCTGACGTGGTGTCTTTTAACTTTAAGGGCCCTGACTCGGTGTCTTTTTACTTTAGGGCCCCTACGCGGTGTCTTTTTACTTTAAGGGCCCGGGGCCCCCGACGTGATGTCTTTTTAATTTAAGGGCCCTGACGTGGTGTCTTTTAACTTTAAGGGCCCTGACTCGGTGTCTTTTTACTTTAGGGCCCCTACGCGGTGTCTTTTTACTTTAAGGGCCCTGACGTGGTGTCTTTTAACTTTAAGGGCCCTGACTCGGTGTCTTTTTACTTTAGGGCCCCTACGCGGTGTCTTTTTACTTTAAGGGCCCTGACGTGGTGTCTTTTAACTTTAAGGGCCTCGATGCGGTGTCTTTTTACGTTAAGGGACCCGACGGTGTCTTTTTACTTTAAGGCCCCTGACGCGGTGTCTTTTTACTTTAAGGGCCCCTACGCGGTGTCTTTTTACTTTAAGGGCCCCTACGCGGTGTCTTTTTAATTTAAGGGCCTCAGCGCGGTGTCTTTTTAATTTAAGGGCCCTGACGCGGTGCTTTTCTTTACTTTAAGGGCCCTGACTTGCCGTTAGGATGGAACGAAATTTGGAGGAGGCTCTGGAGCAGACAGATGATATTATTGAAGTCTCAAGTCTCCAGCAACAGCCCCCTCCAGTGACACCCACATCTAGTGGGGAAAAATCTCTTCAGGAAAAACTGTATGAAATTTATATGGAGGAATGTAAGAAGGAGCCTGAAGCAGAGGGCCTTCAAAACAATGTCAACTTGCTAGAGAAGCTTATGAAGAGAGAGGCGTTGCCGTGTTTAGTGGTCAACCTGTATGCAGAAAATCAGGGCTATTCTCTCCTGCTCAAGGACAAAGATGGAGCCCTTATAGAGCCCGTTTCAGTGCCTTATGTAGGACAGAAACTGCTCGAATATTTGGATGCTGAACAGTTACCTTCTTTTCTGATTGATGCCCTGGAAAAGTCCCCTGTGAATGTGTTTCACCATGGGTGTGTCATAGCAGAAATTCGAGACTTCAGGCCGTTCAGTACTGGCTACCCTCCTGGGGAGCCTGGTGAAGATCCTACTGCATCATCTACTGAGTCTGCTGTCTCATCTACTGTGTCCTCTCCTGCTTACCAAACTCGTCACATCCTCTTACGTCCGACGATGCAGTCACTAGTGAGTGATGTGGAGTCCATAACAAGTGACAACCGTCAGTGGACCCAGGAAGAAAAACTTGAACTTGAGAGCCAAATGATCTTGGCTACAGCAGAGCCACTGTGTCTGGAACCCTCTGTTTCTGTCACCTCCACGGGCAATACACTGCTGTTTAATGAGCAGAAGATGAACACTGACCCCATGAGGGAATGCCTCTCCAGTCCTGAGCAGCCGCTAGAACTGGAGGAAGAAAAGAACATATGTACAACTCCTCCTGATGTTGCAACAATGATTGCTTGCAGAAAACGAGCAGAAATAAAACCAGGTGACCAATATGATCTGAAGATTGCTGAAGCAGGAAAGTGTGTAGATACATGGAAGCAGAGACCCTGTGAACTGGTGGCCCCCTCACAGGTCGATGTGCAGAAATATGCTAAAGGGAAGCAGTCTGTGCCCCATGATGACTCAGCATCAACATCCTGGCCAGCTCCTGAGGTAAAATGTGGTGATGTATGTGATAGTAAAGAGGTCAGTCAGTCATGGGTAGCAAAATCAAATGTGACTGAGTCCCTTAGTGACCCATTTTTCTCTCCTGAAATAGAGCCACCAACAGAGGGCCCATGTGATAGCCAGATGTGTCTTCCTCAAGTTGCCCCAAGTGATTGTCCACTTGCTTCTGTAGCTGGGGCAAAGATTGAGTCTGGGGAGGCAATGGGTGTGTGCCAAGGGTCTGTCCCAAGCCAGGCTGTGTGTCTAGGCAAAAACCTACAGGGATCCACTGACTCCATCTGTCTTGGCCAGCCCTCCCCAGGGAGCGATGCCAAATCCCATTCAGTGACATCCTCAGTCTCAGAGGTGGGAGATAAGACCCCAGCTCCACTGTTGACACTGCCCTCCACCTCAGGACGGAGCTCTTCAGCAATCAGGCCTCCCTTAGTGCTAGTCAGAGGTAGGAAGATTCTGAGATTTTCTCCTTATTCCACATCAGCTAGCCTGGCTCAGCAAACCTTCTGGGGAATGAGTGGTGTTAACAACCCTCCTCCAGCTGTCCAGCCTTCGGCCAGCTCATCAGAGAGCCGTCCAGCCACCCATGGCACCAGCAGTGCCACTGGCCAAAATGTCACCAATGTTTTTGGCCTTACACAGGGAGCCCCTGTTTTGAAGAGTATTCTGACCCAGGTACAGAGCTTCCCCACTAGTGCCCCAGGATCTACAGAAACCTCTTCCAGAGGCTTTCTGCCTCCTAGAGGTCAGATGCCCAGTACCCAGACCAGAGCACCACAGTGCTCTGTGCAAACATCTGTGAAAGTATTTGTAAAAAATACTTCAGGCCCTGTAACTGTCAGGCTTTCACCTAGCTCTGTCATTTTGCACCCAGAGTCACAATCACAGGGTCCCCAGCAGCCGCCACAGCAGCCACAGCAGCAGGCACAGCAGCAGCCACAGTCACGGCTGTATCCACAGCCAGAGCGGCAGCGCCCCCAGCAGCCAGATTCTTTGTATGTGTTTATTTCAAAACGGCATCAGCCACCTAGGGCTCCTATCCCTCCACAGCCAATTCCACTACCTTACCAGTACAACCAGAGATCAAGCTTTCAGCAATGGGTAGTGCCAACTCAGCAAACTGGTCTCTTTAACCTTGCTGAGGCCAGGAGGGTTCACCAGTCTCAGGCCACTGTGGTGTGTCGGGTAGGCTCTACCCAGAGTCCTGGGCAGAACCTTCCTTCACAGAGCATTCAGAACCCTGCAGCTGGGGTAGAACAGCTGCAGGCCCGGGGCCAGAATGTGCATCTGAGATTCGTGCCACGTATAGTGGCTGTGTCTAGAGCAGCCACTCAGCGTAGTCATCAGGGGCACACAGGTAGCCAGGACACAGGTGGCCAGGACACAGGTACAGGGAAGGGAGGTCCACCAACCACCCCAAAGTCTTAGTCTCCCTCTTTCAAAAAAATGCACCAACATTGAGCTAAATCAATTCTGTTTTTACTTTGATTTTGGTGTTTTTAATGTACCAATGTTTTACGGTTTAAAAACAAAAAAGCTCAATACTAGAATTTTACATAGAACACAGGAAGGAATTTTTTAAACTGGTGCTATTTTACTTGTTATTCTTTTTGTTGTTGATAGAGACAAGTTTATTGTAGTGTCCTGAAGCATATCTACATAGGTTGGTTTTAGTTTCTTACAGATTGTCGTTTCTCTATTAAAATTGTAAAAATATACTTTAATAACTTAGCAATAATTTAGAGGTTTATTTATAAATGATTAAAAACACATTTTATATGTTTTAACAAAAATTATTTGGGGAAGGAGTAATGTATTATCCTCAATAACTTGTTTTCTTTTTTTCCCCCTGAGACAGGATTTCTCTGTGTAGCTTTAGCTGTTCTAGAACTCATTCTGTAGACTATGTGGGTCTCAAACTCATGTAAATCCTCCTGCCTCTGCCTCCTGAGTGCTGGGTTTAAAGGTGTGTACAACCACTGCTTAGCCTGTTGTAAAAATTTTTAGGACACAGCTCAGTATTAGTAAGTACAATCCCGATGTCCTGCAACATAGTTCTAGAACTTATTCATGTTTTTAGGGATTGAAAGTCTGTGTCTGTTAACCATCAAATCTCCCATTTCCAGTCCCCCTTCCCCCCGCCCTGGTTGCCACCCGTCTACTTATGTCTTCTGGAGTCTGAGTGCTCCCAGCGCCTCACATGCATGGAAACACGAGGTGGCTATTATATCAGGCAGCCTTTTTCACTTGGCATGATGTCCCCAAGGTCTGTGCATGTTGTGCCTTGTGACAGAAGGTCAGTGCTTTGTAAAAATCATTTCCCCATGTTAAATATGTAAGGAATTAACTTGTGAACCAGGAAAAGCGTCTTTCAGGAGAACTTAGTATTTCTTAGTTTAAAAGGCCTGTGTGCAGCTTCTGCAATGCTATTGCTGCAAGTACACTGTGCAAAACTGATACTAAAGGAGACCAGAACAAAGGAAGGTTGTCACACTGAGGTTGAGTACAGCCTAGACATGCACTCCTGTGCAAGGGAGTTGGTGGCAGATTTGTTAATGACCATCCCAGTCCTGGGAGGTTTCCCTGCACTTGGTGCTCTGACAGACAGACCCCAGCTCTCCTCCAGACCCTGCCACTGGCCTGGAAGAGGCAATCTGGGATGGCTTACTGTGGCTCTCCTTGTGAGGCCATTCACATGTTTTAGAACATTCTAGGTTATTTGTACGAAGGAAATGAGCACTTGAAAACTCAGTTTTTTCTGGTCTGTTTCCCCAGTGACCACAGCCTTCTGAGGCTGTTAAGTGGGATGTCCTCCTCCTCTGCCCTCCCCCCACTGCTTATCCTTCACAGTTAGCACTCTCTGCCATATGAGTTCATTTCAGGGGCCCTTGTTTCAATGGACTCAACTGCCCTGTCCTTTTTGACTTACTCCCTTTAGAGAGTGTAGGGATGTGGGGCCGGAGAGATGGCTCAGCCAGCTGTTAAAGGCTAGGCTCACAACCAAAATAAAGAGTCCAGGGGGTGTAATCAGTTCTGTGACACACGTTTACCAGTGCCAAAGTAACATTTATGCTACCATAAATACCCTAGCACTTATGACGCTGGCACTGTTGTGCAGCCAGCTCCTCTGTGTGTTTCCAGAACATGCTCAGCACTTCAAAAGAAGTCCTGGACCTATTAAGCACTAAGGGGGGAGGCCTCTTTGCCCTACCCCCAGCCACTGGCAACCCCCGATTTGCTCTGTGGCCCTATGAATGTATTTGTTCTCGGTGTTTATATTAGGTGAATTAGATAGTGTTTTGTCAACTTTGTACATTTTGTGTTTCCTTTTTGCCTGGCATGTGTTTGATGTTTATTCATCTTGTACTATATACCAGCACTTGGAGCCTCTTTGGCACAGTCACATTCCCTTGTCTGTGCATGGCCTGATCTGTTTATCCATGTTTGGGCTGTTTCCACCTTTTGGCTATTGTGGGTCATGGTGCTGCCGTCATTCACGTACAGGCGTTATTTTATTAATGTTGTTTTTTGGTAACTTTTAAAGATAAACTGCCTACATGAAATTTGCCTTTTAAGTGCACATGTATGTTTATTTGCCTTTTGCCCTAAGAAGTGAACACTCGGTCTGTCGGTTCTGAAAAAGATCAGGGAAGGGACAGTAATCGTGATCATCACTGGCATGAACCTGAGGTCCTGCTGGTGCTCTTTACCAAAGATTTAGCCTCCTTCAAGCAAGCTGGTCCCATTGGCCACCAGAGGGACAGTGAGCTGACTGGAGCATCCTGGACATTGCTGGGAGTGGAGCCTGCTCTTCAGAGCCAAGCAGACCTGAGCTCAGCGTGCTGCCAGTTTTCCTGTCCTTCCTCCCTTTGCTCTGTAACTGGTCCATTCAGGTACAATGTGTAGAATGTTTTGCTTGAGAGATGTGTCCTTTCTTTTCAGACAGGCAAATAAATTTATCTTTGTTTGCAATTACCACTTAGTGGCATCTGTTTATTTTCCTGTTTATTATACCCTGCTATAACTTTAATGGAATGTTCCTATTGAGAATATTAGCTGGCTACATTTTATTTTTTAAACATAAATTTATTGATTTTTGGGGAATTTCACATCATGCATCCCAATCCTATTTACCCTCAGTCCCTCAATATCTGTCCCACATCCTTGTAACATGCCCTCCAAAAACCCCCAAATTGATTAAAAGCAAAACAAAACAACCATCCCTCTCCCCCACCTCTTCATTCATCCTAGTGGCATTGGGTGCTGCAGTTTGTCACACAGTATACCTCTTGTCCAGTCAGTCCCACTCACAAAATGTTCATTGCAATGTGTCATGGGTCTGCTTCAAGGCCTCTAGAACACCAGTGGACCCTCACTGAAACTCCTCTTGGATATCCTGCTATTGCCCTGAGTCATAGAGATCCTGTGGTTATTGTTCTGCAGGACCAGTCCCTTCACATACTCTAGCAGGTTGTATATGGTGTATATGTTAGGCTGGGCCAAGGCCCAGGATGTGGGCCTGGGTGGTAGCTGAGCTGGATTTTCTGGGACCCTGGGATTGCCCCCCTCAGGTGAAGGGCAGAGCCAGCTCTCTTAGGCCCATGCCATGGGGGCCAGCTATTCCATGACCTTGGTGAGGGGTGGAGCCATCTATCGTGAGTGGGGGATGGGGCAGCTCTCCTGCTGCAGTGCTCAGTGATGGGGAGGACCAGTTATCCCAGGTCCTGTAAAGGGTGGGATTAGCTCAGCACGGCCCCCGGATTTCAACATGCATGGTTCCTATGAACCCAACCCCATGGACATTATTACAGACATCAGCTGCAGCAGGAACATGAATGTCCATGGCCCTGGTGGCAACAGGCCACCCTGAATCACTAAGGCCCAGTGTCAGCAGGCCCTCAGATAGTAACATGATCTCAGATGGCTGTCCAGACACTGGGCATCTGCACAGTCCCTGGTGGCAACAGAAGCCATGGACATCTACCCAGACCCTAGAGCTGTCTACATTTTATGTTTTCACTTGGTTTTAGTGCCATGAGAACCCAGAATGTCTCCCTGCTCCTTTTTCTTGAGACAATGTTTCCCATAGTCCTGGTCATCCTGGAGCTCACTCTGTAGTCCAGGCTGGACTCGAACTCATGGAGATCTGCCTGGCTTTACCTCCTGAGTGCTGAGACTAAAGGCTTGTACCACCACTGCCCAGATTCTCTTTCCTAATTCAAGATGAATTCTTACTCATTATTCAAAATTTATTTGTGTGTGTTAAGTATAGGTATTTGTAGAGATCAGATGACAACTGTTGGGATCTGCCTTACACCTTTTTGAGGCAGGGTCTCTCTTGCTGTTTTCTGCTGCTGTGTTGTGTACTCCAGGGGAGATGGCTCTTGAGCTCCAGGGTTATGCTCCTGTTTACACCTCTCATCTCATATTAGAGAGCACTGGGATTATAGCTTTTGGTCAGAACATCTGGATTTTTTATTATTTCTTTTTTTTTATTTATATAAAAAGACCAATAATAGCAGTATGTTATGAATCAATAGCAGCAACGAACATCTGGATTTTTAAGTGAGTTTTGGGAATTGAAGTTGCCTTGTCTTGCTTGTATGGCTAGCACTTTTACCCCCTGAGACATCTGTCTGGCCTCAACTTTTTTAAAATTTATTTTCAAAATGCATTTTTCAAAAGTCATGCCTTCAGAACCTTTTCAAAATATGCTGATAGTGAGAGAGTTACATGAACTTAGGTGGATCAGCATTCTTCAACAGGTTACACAAAAGATGGTATCATAAATGAGCATCCAATAACATCCAGGTAGCAGGATTTGTGTGGCAAAGAGGGCCAGTCCAGTTACATATAGAGATCTCATCTCACACAGTAACAACATAAGATGTAACAAACCACATATGTAATTTAAATTTTCTCATAGTCACATTTTCAAAATTAAGAACAAAAAAAAACCAAGAGAAATTACTTCAATAAAACTTAATTGGGCCTCTTTCCGCCATCTTTCCACGCCGTCACCATGGTGTGCATGAATGTCCTGGCTGATGCAATGCTGAGAAGAGAGGCAAATGCCAGGTCCTTGTCAGGCCCTGCTCCAAAGTCATCGTTCAGTTCCTAACTGTTATGATGAAGCATGGTTACATTGGTGAATTTGAAATCATCAATGACCACAGAGCTGGGAAAATTGTCATTAACCTCACAGGCAGGTTGAACAAGTGTGGAGATCAGCCCTAGATTTGATGTGCAGCTCAAAGACCTAGAAAAGTGGCAGAACAATCTGCTCCCAACTGTCAGTTTGGCTTCATTGTACTGACAAACTCAATTGGCATCATGGATCATGAAGAAGCAAGAAGAAAACACACAGGAGGGAAAAATCCTGGGATTCTTTTTCTAGAGATGTAAAACATAAATAAAAAGCCTCCATA